GTGGCTATTCAAAGTAATATAGGCAGAATTTTAAAATGATACAGTAACTGCATAGCTGTTTAACAGAAAGCTCTCCATTTTCCAGCATCAAATTGTGCAGTTTTACTGTCTCGCTATAGATTTTTTTTTAATCTTAGAATTTTTAAGGGAAATTTTGATGTAAATTAAAAATACTTACATATAATCTTTATTGAATAATGGCTTTTAATAGTAATAAAATCCATATGAAATGTATGGCTGCTTAATCCTGTTCTTAAATCTGTTCTTCTCCAGCAGCATCCCTTAGCCCAGGGCAGCCTCAGATATCTGCAGCAGCAAAGATCTTCCTTAGGATATAGATTTATAGATGTCCAGCATATCTGTGAATGTTACAGCTTTGTTTCTATGAATGCCATCTTTTCTGTCAGGAGAACTCTTTTCAAATTCTATGTTATCAAATCTCTCCATAAATTTTCCCAGAATTTTCCATTTTCAACCAGTATAGTGACTTTAGGTCAAGGAGATTCTTCTCCTGATACATAGAAAGAACATATTTTAATTTAGACTAATATTTGTTTTAACATGTAAATTAAGCCAACGACTAATAACTTTGTGTCCAAATGAAAAAAGATAATGAATTTGCATTCTGTTTATATTTCTATTTTTGTTTTTAAAAAAATTCTTTCCATAAAGTGAATGAATTTTGGCTGTGATTTGCTGTTATGAAATATAAAACTTAAGAAATCCAAATATATTACATAATGGAGGAAATTGACATACATTTTTATTTTTAGATAACCCGTTTATTTTAATAAGTGAAAAATTATTCCAGTTAAAAGAAATCATTTGAATTAACTATAAAGGTGTAAATAGGAACCTCTTTAACAAATCACTATAATTGCACTTTCTTACCCTCAAATATTAGCAATGAGGCTTAAACAATGACATACACATTTGTGTATATAAATGACATATGTGTATAACAAATAGAGATGATATCAGCATAGTTACATATGCATTTTAAAATATAATTCTATTTGAAATCTCTTTTGCAAAGAGTGGTCTTTTTAAAAACATACTAGAATTTTTAAAAATTTATGTTCGTTATATATCATGGATGTTTTGAGGCTGAAAGATGTCTTAGAAACAATTTTACTTCAGTCCCTTCTGAAGCAGTTTGTGGTCCTCGCTCAGAGGCAGCAGAAACTGATTCTGACTAAATAAAGTGAAAATGATTTTATTGGAAGGATGTTAGGTAACCAGCCGAATTTAGTGGAGAACTGGCTCAGAAGAAAAGGACAAGACATGTGACCCTTGAATGGCTCTAGGTAGGATGGCTCTTGTCAGGATGTTGCTGCCAGGTTGCTTGAGCTCCAGCAAGCTTCTGCACACTTGTGTGTCTTGACGCAAGGTTCAAAAGCCTGGGAGAGAGGCCAGTGGCTTAATTTGGGTCACTGACCCACCTCTTGGCTGGGAAGTCTTTGAAATCAAGTCCAACCAAGAGGACACACAGTGTGGGACTGGCCATTTCCAAAAGTACTTTGCAGTCCTGCCACCTGTAGAAGTGGAGCTGGATGCTAGGCAGACCAGATCCAACCAAAGCAGCCTCATCTTCCGGGGGAGGGAAATAAAGCTCAGAGCGTGATTTCCTCCGCTTCTGTACCAGTTGAGATTAAAATTGAGAAGGCCTCCTGACTAGTGTTCATTTTTATTGTTTAAAGTCAGTATTCTAATTTTTATTTATAATATTCTTTATTTTTGCACCGGAATGCTTTCTTTACTCACAGGAAAACATGTGGGCAGCTAAGGCATAAACACACAGGGCCTGCTTGAAGCAAGATTGGATTTCTAGCCCCTTGTCCTCTCAGATCTCCTGTACCACCCCCAAAGCTGCCTTTTGGGGGAACCTAAACTAGTTATCTTTCCCCATCACTATTCATCCTTTTGTGTTCCCTTCCTTAGCAAATTAACAATTACTCCAAAAACCTGGTTGTCATCCTAGCTCCTCCCTTTCCATCACCCGCAACATCCACTCGTTCACCAAGTAATCAGTGTCTTCATCGCCTGACTACGCATTGAATCCACCTGCTTCTACCAATCCCCCTCCTTTCCTTCAGTTCTGTTTTATGATATTCATATATAACTGGGCACCCTTCCCAGTTGTATCTGGCATCCCTGGGCGCGGCTGCTTGTTAACATTTACTTCCCGATTGTGATCTCTAGGACCTTGTGATCAGCACTAAATTTGCCATTCTAGAGTTCACGCCTCCCTTCTGTGCTAACGCAACCCCAGTTCTGTCAGGGCAGTGTGACCTAGAACAGGCAAGATGTGTGTTTTTCTAGCTTCCTTGCAGCATGGGTGGCCACATGACAGAGTTCTGGCCAGTAGAACAAAGTGGACATCCACTAATAGTTACAGAAATGTTTTTTTTTCCCCTGATAATAAGGAAAGACGGCTGATGCCACCACATTCTCCCCTTTTTCCTTTCCTTGAAGGTAGAGATGATAATCTAGAGCTTGTCCCTTCAGTGACCAGCAAGGGACAAGCATGAGGGAAAAGTTAAAACAATCCTGGAGGCGTGAACCTTGAAATTGCCAGTCCACTGAACCTAGGCCAGTAGCATCTTGTGCTGTGAGAAATAGAAACCTCTTGTAGTGGAATGCATTCCTAACCTGTGGGATTCTGTACAGGTGTTCATCTCTGATGTGCTCAATCCCTCCTTTTCTGTCAGCTCTGGAAATATGCTGGCCTGACGCCTTCAATAGGTCCCCAGCGCTGCTTATTCTCAGAGCTATAGCTGTGTCCTCCTTCAGGTCTCAGTGGGCAGCCCATATAACAGCCTTTTGGTACACATCCCCTTCCCACAGCCAATGACATTGTGGCAGACATACCACCTCGCTCTTTCCATTAACTTTCGCGACATCCATGGAACCCACTAGACTATTATGGCATTCGGTCCAAACCACTCAGGGACTGTGGGAAATTGTAGGGGCTCATTCTGGTCGTCTTCTGCTGAGACCTGCACAGTGACTTGTGCTGTCTTTGTGTCAAGGCAGGTGGGTAGGGGAGGAGAGAGGAGACGTGGCCTTTTAGAGCATCTCTCTGCTTCCTCCTTCATCTTCTCCTCTTCTGTCTCAACAGGCGGGCAGGAACAAACAAAAATCTGTTACTCTCTCTTCCTCATTTCAAATATTTTTTGCCTCATACAAGGTGGTGGCTTTTGAGCTTTTGGCCTAGGAATACAGTTTCCTTATTCTCTTTATGGACCAGTCCTATAACAATAGGTGCCTCGCGTCAGCTGCCAGATGCCTAGAGTCCAGACTTCCTACCATGGCTTTAAGGGCTCTTCATGATCCGGGTATTGCTTTTCATTTTTTAGTTTCCCTCTCACCATGCCCCTCCTCACCGCTCTTTATGTATTTTGTTCTACACCTAAGCTGATCCACCGAATAAGAATTTCTTGATGGGTGAGCCTGAGCATTTCTGCTTTGCTTGCTTGTTTGTTGAATTCTGTAGGTGATGCTGTTGCATAGCCAGAACCGGTAGTTCAGGACTTCACATTTCCCAGGTCATTTTCACATGCATAATTTCGTTTGGTTCTTAGAAGAATTCTAGGATGTAGGCAGGGCATGTATAATACACACATTTCACAGATGAGAAGAAATGAGGTCCAGGGAAATCTCACAGAACTGGAAGTTCTGTCTCAGACCCGGGGTGTTCTGACTAATTCTAGGCTGTTTCCACGCCACAGTGAAATCTTTATTACAAGTAGTATCACAGGTCAGTTGTTCTAAATACTTAATTGTCTCCTATTTTTTTTAAAAAAGTGTAAAATAATTAACATAAAGCTATATCATTTGGCCTCTCATCACTCATTTGGTAGAATAAGCGCCATCACACAGCTGTTATCCCACAGCTCTGCTTCCTGTGTGGCAGTTTTCATCATCTGAAATTATTTGTTATTTGTTTACTTATTTGTTGGTTGTGTTCTCCCTAAAATACAGACTTTACAGGGGCATGGAATGTATCTGGTCTAGAACAGTGCCTGGCACTTGGCAGGAAACTCAATAGCTATTTGTTAAATAAATAAGTGGAATATTTATTTGTCACTTTTTCTTACATGTGATTTATTATTAAGTTAGTAGTGAAATATTAATCTAAGAAATTATGAATGTGATTCTAACTGAAAATAATTTACCAATATATTTAGAAATGAATTTCTAGGAGCATATTCTGCATGAATGAATAAATGAACTTCCATAGCATACAGTGAAATCATTTAATATAGAGTGCATTGTTTTGATATTAATGAGATGTTTAATTTTTGCTTGGCTGATTGGTTATTTTGTTAAGAGTCTAGTGTATCAAGTATTTTTGAATGTCATCTGATACTATGGTCTGAATATTTGTGTCCCCCCAAATTCATGTTAAAATCCTAATCCCCAAAAGTGTTTCTAAATGGGACCTTTGGGAGATACTCAGGTCATGAGTAGAGTTCTCGTCAATGGGAGTAGACCTTATAAAAGGGGATCTGGAGAGGTCCCTAGCCCCTTCCACCATGTGAGGACTCAGAAGGAGCCAACTATGAAACAATAAGTGGGCCCTCACCAGAAGGCTGCCACACTGATGACTTGATCTTGAACTTCGAACTTTTATAACTGTGAGCAATAATTTTTGTTGTTTATAAGCTACTCAATTGGTAGTATTTTGTTATAGCAGCTCGAACAGACTCAGACATCAGTCAACTAGCTTATTTGTTCTTATCAAAGGGAACTCAGCTCTGGAACTGATATGTTTATAATGTAATTTCATTAAAATTACTGTATTTAGATAGCTCCTGGCATCTTTCATGAAACTGAAGTTTTTCAATTATGAGTGTTTGAGGCAAAGACGGTTTTTAGTGCTTTCACTGAGGAAGAAAAGGCAGCATGATTCAACTTTTAATTATTATAGGATAAAAACACTGCACACATTTCAAGGATTAAAATAACACCCTGAGTGTTCTGATTCTCATTCCCAGTTACCGGAACTCATACAAGAAGAGCATCTGTGTGGACATGCTGCGAGATGGCTATCATAAGTCCTTCACTGAGCTCTTTGCTCTGATGGAGAAGTGGGATGCGCTGAGGGAGGCTGCGAGAGTTAGGTCCCTCTTGTGGTTGCAGAGACCTCTGGAGGAGCAGCCTGATAAGCTGGACCACTTCTACTACTACCTGACCAGGGCTGAGGTGGCCGAAAGGAAAGGTAAGTGGAAGGATTGTGGGCGGCAGCGCTGCATGATCTAAAACAGTGGGCGCCTGAGGAAAACTTCCAGATTGTTTCGTGTATGAATTTGAAACATTAAGACAACTTAGCACAGTTCAGCCATGTCAACTAAGCATATTTATGGAATAGAGGATGAGGACCGCTGACTCACAGGGTTGCCCCAGACACGGGGGCATCCTGGTGATATCATTTTAAACCATGGAAGGCAATGAGGAGTACCTAATAACTTCTCCTAAACTTTCCAGTATGTTAAAGTCTTCTACATCATTAATTCTAAGTCTTTCCATAATTTTTCTTCATATGTAATCTGAATTTTGACTTTTGCTAAGGAGAGACTTTCAAAAAGTACTACAACTTGAAAATTATACTCATTTTCTAGTATTCATATAATGGAATTTGAAAATTTTATCAATAAGTCCTACAGATTTCAATCAGAATTTTTATCAGTGAATCGTGAGAGACATGAAAGGCCTACAGTTCACAGTTACGAATAAAATTGTTAATTTTCTGTGTTCCATCACATCATTTCTAACAAATTCCTTGTATCCTAAAATTTTCCAGAAAGTCAGTGTGTTTCAACTATTGAAGAAAATATTTTAATCCCTACTATAATTATACTGATACTGTTGCCATAAGTATTTCTTAGTTACATATTAGAAATCTGTCATTTTATGTAATCAAAGAAAGAAAGGAAATCCTAGAATTTGACATATAAATTTGGTGTTCTAAATTATTCTTTCTTCAGCATTTTGCACGAGAATACCAGGATTCAAAAAGAGTAGCTCAGGCCCCAGCATGGCAATGTCTACATTTCATTTCAGGCCTTTCTATGGGAAAATGGAGTATTAGGCAACTGTTACTTGATGCTACAATGGGGAGAATTGATGGGGACATGGAAACAGCATCAGAAAGTGTAGCGAAGTCTTTCAGCCTCTATGGTAGAGTCAATACATATTTCCCATCAGATCGTGAACACAAATGTGAAGTATACCAAAATCCTTACACCACTACCATAAGTGAACTAGGATGTGTGTGTGTGTGTGTGTGTGTGCATGGAAATAGGCGGCAATTATTGTATTATGAAAAGTATTTAGCTGCAGTATTGACTTTACAAAGAGTCCTTTGATGAATTTTAAAATGTGATTTACATATTAATTTATTAAGAAATTAAATGTTATAAGTAAAAAATGCTATTCTAAAATCCTACATTCTAGTATCAGTACCAAATTCTGAAGTGATATTTACACTGCAAATAGAATCAATCAAGATAAAGTTTGCCCGGTAGTGATTTTTTTTCAAGTTGAATCATCATATTCACTAAATGTTTTAAATAGAAGCTATGAGTAGAATAAATATGAGCCAAATATATCACTTATCATAAAGTGTCATAAATATAAGAAATTTGCATTTTGTCATTATAAAGAAACTACAATGCTAAATAGTCTTTTAAGGTAGAAAGCATTTTAATTTATAATTTTTTATTAAAGAAAAGTAACTACATATAAATAAAAATGTTTCTCCCATTCCAAAAATTAACAAAGTCTAAATAGTCCACATGGTCTAACTAATGAAAGCAAATATTTTGTTTACTGAGTGGTTTATCATATATTCATGGTAACCAAGGTTATATTTGTTAAATGGAACTCAATTATATCTTACTCAGAATGACTCTTCTGTAGGGTTATCTCCTTCAAAATGCAGTAGCTTTTGCATGTTTGAAATACAGAAAATTAAAATTATTGCAATAAATGTTACTGGAAATACTTCAGTTGAGCATTTTTATATTCTTTTTAAAAATTTGTATACTTTTTTCACACTTAACATGTGAACTTTATTGGGAAATTGGGATTTGATTTAAGAATGTCCTAGAAAGTGGAATGGGCGATATGCACATTCACTCTTATTATCTCGAATTAATCCTAAATCTTAAAACACACACACACACACACACACACACACACACACACACACACACACACACTCTTCATCTGGAATACAGAAATCTGTTAATAGTGTCTCAAGGTTCTATCCCACTAACAATAGTCATCTCTGGTAAGTTCTATCTCTTGAGACTTACAGAGCAGGAACCTAGAGTTATTTAAATCACTTTACAAAAAATTTTTTTGTTGTTGTTTTATAGCAAAGAAGTATTTAAAATAAGCCATTAATTTCTTTTTAAATTATTTTCCATTTGTTAAAGTGTTTCTTTTCCCTGAGAACATTTCTTGTATTACCCATTGTTGTGAATCATCTCTGTACCATCTGTAATGTCATGATTAGGGCCTTGTGCCCCATGGGACCAGGGAAGAGATGACAATAATGGTAATGGGTAACTGAATCAATAGATAATTCAAACATTATTTACACTTGACTTTAAATTATTGTCAAGGGTTAAGCAGCAGTTTTTTCTGGTAACATTTATTTAAGATACCCAGAGTATATTCTACTCAAGTAAAGTCCCACAGGATGTTTATAAGTTTTATGTAAAGTAAAAAGGAAATAAAATTGTCTGGTAAAGTAAGTTTGAGAAACATAATATGAATTAACATTTATGTTAAGCAGATTGTTTTATTGCAGGACTTATCAGAACCTTTAACATGTAAATGTACATTGTGAGTTCATTAAAAGAGGAAATTAGCAAGAGAATTTCCCAAATTTATTTTATCATGGAATCGCCTTTTTAGGTAACATAGTGAATACTGATCTAAATAATAAGCCACCAATAAAATTGATTTTCATCTTATAAATATACCTAGTGACAATTCAAGTACATGGTCTACAAGCAGGGATTAAAGGCTGCTTAGAATATATAGGGTGCAGGTCATATATTTGGATTGTACAAAGATTAAAAGCTTGAATATACGCCTTTATACTTAATACTGTGAATAGTACTACATTTTTCCATAGAAAAATAGCTTAGCTAACAAATAGTCTTTAACTATGGAATCTTGATAGCTTATCTAACTCATTCTAAAAACAAACAAACAAAAACCTTTGTTTATTAAATGTTGGAAATATTCTATTAAGGTTTAATTACTGAAAAACAGAAAAATTATTTCGTCATTGCATATATTTTTAAAAGCTCTTTATATAATTTTCTTTAAGTGGAAGATATGAAATATTTTACTTACAGCTTTTGAAAAATAACTCTAATCACTAAATATGACAGGAATATAAAATACTACAAAACAGACTTTAGTCCCTATTCACATTAGGTAGCACCTTCAGAATGGAAAGATAAAACACAGAAGTCAGCTCTGAGATGAGAGTATTTGTGGTTTGTTTGTTTGTTTGTTTTGTTTTTAAGTAAATAAGTCAGGTTATTCTCTACTTTTCACCTAAGCTGTTGCCTATCATAAATAGCCTTAAAAAGCACAATGGCTCTCCAGAATCCTCAGTTCCTTCAAAAGTAGGGAGACAGTGAAAGAGCTATTATGGGGTCATTTTATAAACTATATGAATATCTAACCAATGTACTGTATACTAAAAACGAATAATAAAATAAAATTTAAAAAAATAGAGAGATAGAAAGATCTATTTTGTATTGCTTTAACTTTTAGGTATAAAACCTATTTTGAGGTAAACCTTAATTTCCTATGGAATTATGAAGCAGTAGTGTATGTAAAGGAATGACTTAGGGTTTAGAAATTTCTTTTGAAATACTGGAGTAACTTAAGTACAGTTCTTGAAAGTTACCCTTTGTTGTAGTCAACCTAGTTTCAATTTTTCTAAGCTTTTTAATTTTAATCTTATTAGAGTGTTAGTGGGCAATAGTAAATATTTTTCATAATTGTAATCTTTTCAGAAATATATGGGTTGACTTCTGATAGTGAACAGTTAGTATCAGTGAATGATAATGAATTATATTTTTTAAAAAGCCTGGAAACGTAATCCAGAGGCTACCACATATTCACAACTATGCTTTCAGCACAAATTCAAAAATAAAATAAAGATTATGAATTTGTTCATATTCATCAATAGAGTAGAATTTACAGGACTGAAGCACAATTTATTAACACATATACATTTTTGTTCATTTATGATTGATTGCAATGGGGTTCATAAAACTGATTCACAATGAATTAATACACTTTTTTGAGTACAAATAGGTCAGATGCCACTTTGGGTCAGGGTAGGAGGATTAATAAACTAACAACTAATAAACTAATAACTGAGTGAGAGGGATGACTATTATTAATGCATTTTCAGCAGAGAAAGATAGTCATAGAAAACAAAAGAATAAAAGTTCACTCTTTCTTAGCATTGCTAACATTTATTGCTAGAAAGTATCTGGAACTTATTCAGTCATCCTGATTGTCATTTCTTATAAGCTTCATCACAGTTTTTTCTTCTGAGTAAAAATACCTTGCTATTTTCATATTGTATCTGCTTTTTCATTTACATTACCTTTTTGCCATAGTTAAGAAACTTTGCTTTCCCTGGAATCTCTAAATACTTTTAAAATCTTCAGTGGGAAAAATATTTGAAGGTACTACATACTCATTTCTTCCAAAAAAAAAACTGAGCACATGGCTAGTAGATTTTATCCTGTTTTTGTCTAATATAAAGTTTAGTATTTCAACCAAGGGTATATCAATTTCTAAATTGTTCTAAGTTTTGGGAAAACATTTTTTGTTGCTCGTCTCATGTGCACATTCTTTAATTAGCATAACTACCTTAATACATAAAATACATTAATTTTTGCATTTTGATTTTTAAAATAGTTAACCATGCTTCTAAGGAAAAAATAGAAAATAAATGTCTCTGTATTGGTTTGTCATTGAAGAGATGTGTCATGAGACATTTTTCTAATGCAGTTTCGATGCTTTTCCCTCTTTGAAGGATACTTTGAAGATGTCTATAATAACTTATATGCTCTGGCCTGTTACTTCAATAATTCTGAAGACAAGTGGGTAAGGAACCACTTCTACGAACGATGTTTTCAGATTGCTCAACTGATCAAAATTGACGGTGGGAAGAAAGAAGCCGAGGCGCATGGGCACATGGGCCTTCTCTTCGAGGAAGATGGTGAGTGGCCATTTGCCAGGCGACCTGGGCTGGTTTGGATAATCCAGAGTTCAGGCAGCCAGAAAACACATTGGGGTGGAGAAAAAGAGCTGAGGCTTTTGATTAAAAATGTAAGCTAGTGAGATTAAAAAAGCAAAGGCGTTGAGACTATGGATTCAGCTTCAGTGTCGCTTGCAGACTCACTTCTGCTCAAGAGCTGTCGGCATAGATTCCAGCAACTCAGTCACAGAGAGAAAGCATCTTCCGCCACCTGTCCACACACCTTTCATCTGCATCCAGGCTGCACCGCTTTGGATTGTTTTCCCTTTCCCGGGGCCCCCTTTGTGCATTTCAACTTGATTTCTCGTGTGTGAAAATGGGGAAAAGGAAAGGCACACTTTGTGGTTTTCCTAGTGCCTCATGCCCCTATGTAAAAACCAAAAATTATCGGTATAACTCAGATACCACCCCATCATGATTTTATAATAATATCTGAAGGAAATGTTCCTTTAAAAATAACTTCATAACTAATAATATTATCTTAAGACAAGCCTAAAACAACAACAAAAATCATCAGAAACATGCCTTGTATGGTAGTTTATTAAAAACAATAATTCTTAAAGATCTATGTACCCCTGTGTTCATGGCAGCACTATTTACATTAGCCAAGATACGGAAGCAACCTAAATGCCTATCAACAGATGATTGGATAAAGAAGTTATGATTCATATATACAATGGACTATTTCCCAAAAAAATGATATCTTACAATTCACAACAACATGGATGGACCTAGAGGTTATGCTGAGTGAAATAAGTCAGAGAAAGTTAAATGCCATATGATTCCACTTATATGTGGGATCTAAGGAACAAAAGAACAAACTAATCAAAAACAGACTCACAGATAGAGAGGACAATCTGGTGCAGGCCAGAGGGGAGGGTTATTGGGGAGCTGGGAGAAAGGGGTGAAGGGTTAAGGAAGTACCAATTACTAGTAGCTAGATGGTCAGGAGAATGGGGAGCATGGCATAGGGAATGCAGTCAGCAGTAATGTGATGGCTAAGCAGAGGGCCAGGGGAAGGAGAGAGCAATCGGGAATCATTTCATAAACTATATAAATGTCTAACCAATGTACTGTATACTTGAAATTAATAATAAAATAAAAAATTTTTATTAAGGAAGTACCAATTACTAGTAGATAGATGGTCAGGAGAATGGGGAGCATGGCATAAGGAATGCAGTCAGCAGTAATGTGATGGCTAAGCAGAGGGCCAGGGGAGGGAGAGAGCAATCGGGAATCATTTCATAAACTATATAAATGTCTAACCAATGTACTGTATACTTGAAATTAATAATAAAATAAAAAATTTTTAAAAGTTTGCAAGTAGAAATTTAAGAATCAAAATTACTTATTTGGGTAAATAATATGCAAGGCAAATATGTGTGAAGACAAAAATATTTTACCATGAATGATCTTATTTCTTCCTTCAAAAAGCTGTGTCAATTTTCATAAAAGTTTTGACTTTGGCAAAACAGTTAAATTAGAAAATACTTGGTATTTTGTGGCTAGGACTGCATAGGACTTTGAGAAAGGGGAAAAGAGTTTTTCTCTTTTTTCTTCAGAAAACCGTATGTTGTAATCTACAGCATAGAGGTGCTAGAACATGGCAGACAGATATGAGAATGATGAATATGGGAGAAAGCAGAAAAGTTTAGAAAATTCAAAGTGAGAGATCATATAGATCAGATTCAAGAAAGCATGAAGGGATCAGTAGGGACCAGTGGGAGGCTGGGAAGATGTGTATAATTTGGGCAGGTAAAGAAATAGGAAGATATTCTGTAAGAGAGAACTACATTAACAGATTAGAGGAGCTGGTAGGAAAAGCAAACTGTTTAAAGTAGAAAATGTATTTCTGAACAGTGATGAGAACTGAGTACAAAGGCAAAATAGGGGCATGCTGTCATCATTCAGCATTTGGGCTTAAGCTTGAATATATTCAGGATAAAGAAAGGAATGTGATGTAGTATAAGTCTGGCTGTGATACTCCCTGTGGAAGGAGGAAAAAGAGGAAGTGTGGGATGTTTAAGAAGCTGCTGCACTAACTTAACCCTGAGGGAACCGCCAAAAAGTATTTAAGACAATGAATTCGAGCATGTCCGTTGCAGTATGATTTATAATATCTCAAAATAGGGGATTAGTTAAATATATTAAGCAACAGCATTCTGTGCAGTCAAGAAATTACAAATGAGAGCAAAATTCATTCATCTGTTCATTCAGCAAATATCTGTTTAGAACCTAGTTCCAGGGGATAAAACAGTAAACAAGACAGACGAAATCCTTGCCCTCATGACACTTAAGTTCTACTGGGAAAAACAGGTCTTAAGCACTAATAGTAATATAATATATTAAGTAGTGGGAAGTGCTAGGATTTAAAACAAAGCAGGAAAAAGGGATAGACAGGCATTGCTACTTTACATAAGGTGTTTGTTAGAAGGTGAGACGTGATTGAAGTGTGGGAGTAAGCCTCGTGAGCATCTGACAGAAAAGGGTCTACAGAGAGGACATTGTAAGCGCAAAGGCCCTGAGCAGGTGCATGCTGAGCTCGCCCAAAGACCAGCAAGGCCAATGTGTCTGGAGCTCGGTGAGTAAGGTGGTCAGTGGAAGGAGAGGAGCGAAGATTAGACCAGGAGGCTCGGGATCACTCTGGGGCTTGTAGGCCAAGGTGAGGACTTGGACTTTTATTCTAAGAACCCCCAAATATGTATTGATTTGAGAAAATGCCCATGATATAGTAAGTAGAAAAATAAGATACAAAATACAATGTAAAATATAATTATATTTGGTATGTACCGTATGCCATGTTAACAGCTTATTTCCAAATGTGGGAATCATAGGTGATTATAAAATTATGCCCTAAAAACATGTTACCTACTATAATTTGAGAAGTTATTCTTTTTAACTTTTAACCTATTGTCAGAAATAGAGTTTTATTTTTTGATTTGTAAAAATGGGATAAGTTCTTGCTTTAGTAAAGTAAAATTGAAAGTAAAATTCTTGCTTAAGCTTTTAAAAATTGCTATTCCTATTTCACAGAGTGGAGCGGGTAAATATTTTTTTAAGCTTTTAAAAATTAACTTCATTTTGAGGATAAGGAAACTAGAGCACAAAGAAGTTAAGATGGTTAGTGGTGGAGGTAGTATTAACTCATGAGCTAGCTTCAGAGTCTGTGCTAGTAGCCACTGCTCTGTGCAAAGAATTGTTTACTTAAATTACTTTTAAGGTGACCTAACTACGAAAATTCTCAATAACTATATACTAAAATATAATTTATTACTTTTTGTTTCTACTGTGGGAATGCCCCCCCCTCAACTAAATAAAATAAAAATGGCTTTTTGTTTTGTTTTTTTATAATTAAAGCCATCAAATTCTATGACCTACAATAACAAATCAAATAATCAGTCAATTATGGTCCCCCAAAAAAGTCGCAAAAGGAATAAGAAATAATATTGGAAAATAAAGGCTGAAGAAATCAGGGCAAATTGATGAAAATTTAAGAGTAGCCTCAGTGAGATTTGGATGGCTACTACAGGTATATACTCTGAATTTTTCTAAAAATTTTATTTCTGATTTCTAATATTTGGCATGATTTCCTAAAATTCTTTTATTGTAAAAAAAACTGCATAACAAAATTTACCATCTTAACTATTTCTAAGTGTACACAATAGTAGTGTTAAGTATATTCACATTGTTGTGCAACCAGTCTCCAGAACTTTTTATCTTGCAAAATTGAAACTCAGTGCCTGTTAAACAACTCCTGGTTTCTTTCTTCTGATTTTTAAAAAATTTCTCAATGTATTTCTCTCGGAGGATTTATTCATTGCTTTCTTTATTCATTCATTCATTTATCCATTTTTGTACACAATAGTGGTGTTAAGTATATTCACATTGTTGTGCAACCAGTCTCCAGAACTTTTTATCTTGCAAAATTGAAACTCAGTGCCTGTTAAACAACTCTTGATTTCTTTCTTCTGATTTTTAAAAAATTTCTCAATGTATTTCTCTTGGAGGATTTATTCATTGCTTTCTTTATTCATTCATTCATTTATCCATTTACTTGTTCAACAAATATTGGAGCATCTACTAATCCTGTGATTACTAGCTATGGCTCCATGGTTGCCCATATCATTTTTGTGGCCGAGAGTGAGGATGAGTTTGGGAAATGTGATTAGGGTGCTGTGAGAGCAAATCCTTGGCTTGCTCAAACTTAGATGTTCCACCATATAGCATAATAAAATGCACCCTTATTCCATAGCAAATAGAATGTTTAGACTATGAAATTAGTTTTGTTAAGTTATGTTGTATTGTTTTGCAACTACTTTTTGTCAGATCTAAATTATTTTTCTATGCGCTTAATCAGTTCATAGGCCCTAAGAATCATGCCTTTATTGCCTGGTGGATAAAATGACTGAGTTGGTATTGATGAAAATTCTAGAGATTGCCTTTGAGTGTTTTAAGTATGTGGCAAAAGTGAAAATTATCTGTGCAGCTTTTGTAATCCAGGGTAGAATTTTCATAAGGAGAGTAGACTAGGACTATCAAGAATATGTGGCTAGAGTGGAATAGGGACTCACCTGGCCGTAGGGTTCCTCCTGAGGTGACAATGGTGTAGCTTCCGCATATCTGATCTGATTGGTCTAGACAAGCTAATGGAGGCCCCACAGTAACAGCTAGGCGGCAGCTGTGCTCAGGGGCAGGTGGCAGCATTCTGATTCCAGGGGTGCCCATTCAGGTTAAAGCAGGATACCAGCCGGCAGATGGCAAAAGGCAGGTTGTCAGGGGCCCACCAAGCAGGCTGTAGTCCAGGGCATGGCTCCAGCATCCTCGGGGAACTGTAGAGCAAATGAACATGGGCAGAAGTGATAGTCACAGGGACCGGGCACCTGGGTGCGATCAGGGCCAGTGTTCAGCCCGCTGGCACATACGAGACCAGCGCCTCACCCAGAGCCTCTGGCCAGAGTCAA